GGATCTGTACACAATTCCTGGAAGCTGAAAACATCCCAGTTCTTGCATGGCCAGCATACTCACCGGACATGTCACCCATTGAGCATGTTTGGGATGCTCTGGATCGGCGTATACGACAGCGTGTTCCAGTTCCTGCCAATATCCAGCAACTTCGCACAGCCATTGAAGAGGAGTGGACCAACATTCCACAGGCCACAATCAACAACCTGATCAACTCTATGCGAAGGAGATGTGTTGCACTGCGTGAGGCAAATGGTGGTCACACCAGATACTGACTGGTTTTCGGACCCCCCCGGACCCCCCAATACAGTAAAACTGCACATTTTAGAGTGGCCTTTTATTGTGGCCAGCCTAAGGCACACCTGTGCAATAATCATGCTGTCTAATCAGCATCTTGATATGCCACACCTGTGAGGTGGATGGATTATCTCGGCAAAGGAGAAGTGCTCACTAACACAGATTTAGACAGATTTGTGAACAATATTTGAGAGAAATAGGCCTTTTGTGTACATAGAAAAAGTCTTAGATCTTTGAGTTCAGCTCATGAAAAATGGGGGCAAAAACAAAAGTGTTGCGTTTATAATTTTGTTCAGTATATTTCAGCCACCCTGACTGCAAATAATAGAAAAATGTCATACAAAGGCAGTTGCGATTTGTAGAGTTCATCCTCAGGGTTCAGGTGACAATAAATCATGAGATAAACTTGCCTTCTGATGTGTAGAAAATGAAAGCACAGAAACTGAGATTAAAATTAGACCAGGATTTGTGATGTGGATGTTGTGTCTAATTGAATATTCCCCCCTTGGATGCTCTTTGTGTCTGGCATGTGAACTAGAGGGGACGTTTCAATATATAGCTACCAAAGCCTGCAGCAATAACTATATCTAGGTTGAAAGCACCCTCCTCCACACACTCACACAGAACACCCACATGCACACATACACACACGCACACACACACAAGCACGCGCGCACACACACACACACACACACACACACACACATAAAGACATTTCTTTATTTAGACTATAATTAATCAGTTATATGTATCTCTTGCTCTGGCTACTGTGTATAGACCACCAGGGCCGTATACAGATTTCCTAAAAGAATTTGCAGATTTCTTCTCAGACCTATTGGTTACTGTTGATAAAGCGCTAATTGTCGGAGATTTTAACATTCACGTTGATAATACAAATGATGCATTAGGACTTGCGTTTACTGACCTAATAAACTCTTTTGGAGTCAAGCAAAACGTCACCGGGCCCACTCATCGTTTTAATCATACGCTAGATTTAATGAACATGACCATTTCCTTGTATCGTGCATGCTGCATATTACTGATATTAACTACACTGTACAAAATTATAAACGCAACACTTTTGTTTTTGCCCCCATTTTTCATGAGCTGAACTCAAAGATCTAAGACTTTTTCTGTGTACACAGAAGGCCTGTTTCTCTCAAATATTGTTCACAAATCTGTTTAAATCTGTGTTAGTGAGCACTTCTCCTTTGCCGAGATAATCCATCCACCTCACAGGTGTGGCATATCAAGATGCTGATTAGACAGCATGATTATTGCACAGGTGTGCCTTAGGCTGGCCACAATAAAAGGCCACTCTAAAATGTGCAGTTTTATCACACAGCACAATGCCACAGATGTCGCAAGTTTTGAGGGAGCGTGCAATTGGCATGCTGACTGCAGGAATGTCCACCAGAGCTGTTGCCCGTGAATTTAATGTTCATTTCTCTACCATAAGCTGTCTCCAAAGGCGTTTCAGAGAATTTGGCAGTACATCCAACCGGCCTCACAACCGCAGACCACGTGTAACCACACCAGCCCAGGACCTCCACATCCAGCATCTTCACCTCCAAGATCGTCTGAGACCAGCCACCCGGACAGCTGCTGCAACAATCGGTTTGCATAACCAAAGAATTTCTGCACAAACTGTCAGAAACTGTCTCAGGGAAGCTCATCTGCATGCTCGTCGTCCTCATCGGGGTCTCGACCTGACTGCAGTTCGTCGTCGTAACCGACTTGAGTGGGCAAATGCTCACATTCGATGGCGTCTGGCACTTTGGAGAGGTGTTCTCTTCACGGATGAATCCCGGTTTTCACTGTACAGGGCAGATGGCAGACAGCGTGTATGGCGTCGTGTGGGTGAGCGGTTTGCTGATGTCAACGTTGTGGATCGAGTGGCCCATGGTGGCGGTGGGGTTATGGTATGGGCAGGCGTATGTTATGGACAACGAACACAGGTGCATTTTATTGATGGCATTTTGAATGCACAGAGATACCGTGACGAGATCCTGAGGCCCATTGTTGTGCCATTCATCCACGACCATCACCTCATGTTGCAGCATGATAATGCACGGCCCCATGTTGCAAGGATCTGTACACAATTCCTGGAAGCTGAAAACATCCCAGTTCTTGCATGGCCAGCATACTCACCGGACATGTCACCCATTGAGCATGTTTGGGATGCTCTGGATCGGCGTATACGACAGCGTGTTCCAGTTCCTGCCAATATCCAGCAACTTCGCACAGCCATTGAAGAGGAGTGGACCAACATTCCACAAGCCTGATCAACTCTATGCGAAGGAGATGTGTTGTACTGCGTGAGGCAAATGGTGGTCACACCCAGATACTGACTGGTTTTCGGACCCCCCAATACAGTAAAACTGCACATTTTATTGGCCTTTTATTGTGGCCAGCCTAAGGCACACCTTTGCAATAATCATGCTGTCTAATCAGCACCTGTGAGGTGGATGGATTATCTCGGCAAAGGAGAAGTGCTCACTAACACAGATTTAGACAGATTTGTGAACAATATTTGAGAGAAATAGGCCTTTTGTGTACATAGAAAAAGTCTTAGATCTTTGAGTTCAGCTCATGAAAAATGGGAGCAAAAACAAAAGTGTTGCATTTATAATTTTGTTCAGTGTAGATAGATAGATCACAAACACCCTTTTAAGGATGTAAATAAATAAATAACCAAACAAATAAAACTAAACGTGAAGGTTATATTGATGGACAGACTGTGGACATTTACACTGTTTAAATAATCGTCGACAAACACAGCTGAAGGTTTTCATTGATGGTAAGAAAGTGCTTAGCTAAAGGTGTATCCCGAATCTGTGTCCACCTACAGGAAACACAATGCTTTGGAAAAACAGATACACTTGAGACAGTAGCAAAACAGTATGACGCGTGTTGTGCCCCACATGTGGCTGATAAAACAACACAACTGCCCCACCACCTCTACGGAAATGTCCAGTGCACAAACACATCAAAGGGTGGAGACTCCATACAGGCACGTGCAACGGATTTGAGTCATATTAAGCAAAAGCTGGCGCAGCAAAATTGAGTTTTGATGTAGTGAAGTGATGAAAAGCTAGATAGAGATATAGAGAGAAGGGAAAGGGAGGAAGAGAGAAAGATAGATAAGATGAAAGAGAAAGCTTCCTGGCATGTTAGAGCCAGTGGACCATCATCTAGCAAGGGATCGCTGTAAACAACACGTTTCCTGCTCTGTAGATTGTGTGTGGGTGAGTTTGGGCAGAGGGCTTGATAACACATTGTCTCAGTAAGTACAATACACACTACAAGTCAAAGGTTTGGACACATTTTATTTTAAAAAATATATAATTTTTTTTGCAAAGATGCATTAAATTGATCAAAAGTTATTTATACGTTATTTAGAAAGTTATCTTATAGATTTCTATTTTTAAAAATGGTGTTCTTTTGAACCTTCTATTCATCAAATCTTTAAAAAATTATGTTTCCCCAAAAACATTGAAAAGCACAACTGTTTTCAACATTTATAATAATAAGAAATATTTATTGAGCAGAACATCAGCATATTAGAATGATTTCTGAAAGATCATGTGACACTGAAGACTGGAGTAATGGCTGCTGAAAATTCAGATGGGTAAAATATTATTTTACACTATTGCTGTATTTTTGACCAAATGAATGCAGCCTTGGTGAGCATAAGAGACTTATTTTAAAAATATTTTACGCAAACTTTAGTAGTATCATATACAATTTGACAACATAACAGCATTGTATCTGTCTGAGAAGTTCATATAAGCTGGACACTTGCCGGATGCTTTTCCTTCACTATCTAGTCCAACTCTATTTCCAAAAAATAGATGATCGAAAATCATATATAGAGGGGATTTTAAAAAGTTGTAAAATCAATAAAAATATGTATTGGTTTAACCAGGGTAACAACTCTGAAAGCCTATTGAACAGCAATCTTGCCAGCACATGTAGTTTCCATGTGGGCCCAACGTTGGTCTTCTGTGATAGTAAATACTGTGTAAATGCCGCCCTCTAGTGGTTAGAAGCAATGCATATAAATAACTGTCAGGTAAGTTAAAAAGTGCTGTACTATAAAGATTTAAGAGACACAAGCTTATACTCACTCAAACTGCGCCCTCCCATGGATGTTTGTCAAAGCTTCTCATGTCCCTTCCACATGAAACAGCACTTTCCATGATTAGGGTAAACAAGCGGCCTGAAACTTCAAAATATTAAGTAATGTTTGTTATTCGCAACAGGGTCAGTGTTTAAGAACATATTTTGTACTCACCTTTTACTCAAATTCTATATGAAGCTTTTTTTTTTTTTTACAACCATATGTATTCAACATTCATTAACTAGCAATTCAATTATAACAAAGGCACAAATAAATGCATACCTAAACAAAATACATACATAAATTGGTTGGTTTAGTTAGTGATAAACTCAAATTTCCCATAAATTAGAGGAAAAAAAAAACTGTTTTAACAGTTCTTACAGTAACTTTAGAAAAAAGGGTTGGTGTATTTTGCATATCAAATTGTTTCTTTAATTTAAAAAAAAAAAGTGATTTGTACCTTTATTGCTTTAACGCCAATATAAACTTAATATATACAAAATATTTTAAGCAAACCACTAAAAACATTCAGACCTCTTAAAAGGAATCACCCATCAGACCATATGGAAACATACTGCTCTTTAATCAGACATCAGTAAATGTTAAATTCTACTGCTGAAACCATCGTGCTGATGACATTGAGAATACACTCAGAAGCAGCGGCCGCAGTCGCAGTAACAACACCAAAGAAACATCACATTTATTAATCATGTATCCGTCAATAAAAAAAATGTCAGAGAAACAAAAGCAAAATACTCAAACAAATATTAAATAAGCTATTGTTGTTAGGCCTGTCACAGGGTTAATTGAAGGTTTAGATACAGTAAAAGAAATCAGTTAGTGGTTTTCCTGAGCACAGTATAACTCAACATCTTCAAAGCAGAACGGAAATCCACCATTACGCACAGCAAGAAAGGAACAGCGCACGACACACATGTGCTTGGCATCGTCTCATTCAGTATTGTAAACACACACAGTATAGAAAATAAAGTGAATGATAAAACTCATTCCTCATACCAGCTGACTTGGTCTATAAAGATAAGGCAAGATGATCTTACACATTATTGAGCCAACTTCACACCGTCAGCAGTAACATCTTCAAAGCAGAACGGAAATCCACCATTATGCACAGCAAGAAAGGAACAGCGCACGACACACATGTGCTTGGCATCGTCTCATTCGGTATTGTAAACACACACTCAGTATAGAAAATAAAGTGAATGATAAAACTCATTCCTCATACCAGCTGACTTGGTCTATAAAGATAAGGCAAGATGATCTTACACATTATTGAGCCAACTTCACACCGTCAGCAGTCATCAAGGGACAAAACTAGAGCAGTATTTCCTGTGAATTGTCCTCAAAAAATTGTAAAACTCCAACAAAATAATTTGCCGATTGTGAGGCATCAGTCTATAAAAACTGAACTGCTGATGAGCGTGTGCCATGGGTTGATTTAAGAAAAGCAAAAATGACAAGAGCATCTGTAAGCAGCTAGAACATCCAAATACTTTGTTTGCAGTTTTTCACGATCTTAAAGTCTTTCATTTATAACACCGATCCAACAAAAATACTACATTCATGTCTTGTGTCGATGTCATGGCGTTACAATACGTAATAAAAGTCAATCAAGACATGCAATCAATCAAGTTTGATTTGTCAAATGTATACAATGTCTTTTAGGATGTCAGGTTGAGTGTTGTTCCCAGAACAAATAGTTCCCGCTGTAAGAATACAAGTTGTGCTGTGGTTTACATTTACACAGTTTTGCAGCAGGATCATATGGCAGCGGCAGCCACAGCAGAACAACAGAAAACCAGAGCTGTCCGAATTCAACTTCAGTATGCAGTCATGCAATCAGCACACTCCAATCACAACCACAGGTATTTATCAAGCCCCGCCCACCCAGATCTCATTAATAAAGTTAATAATACAGAATGTGCCAAAATCAGAAGGAAAAGTGCTAATAGGTGTGATAATACTAATGATGAAAGGTTCATTATAGCTGATACTTCATGAAACTATTAACATCATTACATACCACAAAAAAAAAACCTATAAAAATCCATAATCCATTCAATAAAAATATGTAATGCTGATCTTTCCTTCGTATACATTTACGGTAAGTAAAAAGTGACAGGTGTGGGTGCCTAAAACCCTTTGGCTTCTCTTTTATTTCTATCTTGACCTCTTTTTTGTGCTTTATCCTCTTCAAGTACTCAATACTACTCACCGTTTTATCCTAGAACTGTCCCACCATCTTTAAGTGCAGAAACATGATGAGCACAGAAACACTCATATTAGTTTATAATGGCAAAGTCAATATATATATATACAGGCATAAATCACATTATGTCACTGAAAAAGCATTCATGAAGCACACATAAACAGCATCGTAAAAGCACTTTCAGGCATTTGTAGCTAATGCTTAAAGTGATGGTTTTACTCAAAAATGAATGTTTGGTCATTATTTACTCACCCTCATGTCATTTCAAACATGTAGGAATTTCCTTCAAGATAAAACTCAAAAGCAGACGTTAAGATGGTGCAATTTTGAAACGTGACAGCCCTATGGTCACCGTTGTATGGAAAGGAGCAGAAACTTCTCTTTTTGTGTTTCCATAAAGGTTTAGAACAACATGAGGGTGGGTAAATGATGTTAGCTTGTTAATTTTTTGGTGAACTAACATCCAGCATTTAAAAAAAAGGAACAGATGAGTTTCAAAGTGTTTGATGTAGCAGTCACGTGTGCTTATTAATGTGTCAGGCACGCCTTTTGACACCATGTGACCATATGGAAAGTTCAGGAGGAGAGTTTGGAATAACTTGGTGGGGAGAATTTCCGCTTCAGATATTTGATGATGTAGAGCGGCAAACAGCTGACCAGTGTGATGACACACACCTTCCACAAGAACACCCGTGTCATGATAAACGAAAGATCTGAAGACAAACAAAACAGATTAATAAAACGTCAGGGTCAAACTGTTTATATTATCATCAAGGCGCCTTTTTCACACGTTATGAAAAAGAAGTCTGTTAGGCTGTGGATGAAGTGGATGGGATGCACTTCACCGATAGAATGTTCTGAAAAATGAGTGATCACGGGGTTAGGGCACATTTGAATGGCTCCTTCTCATCCAGGGGCCCACACCACACGAGACTGAAACCCGAGGGAGGAGAACGGACATGTTTGTGGAGACAGGAAATGATAGCTGGTGAAACAACAGAGTGAACACAGGGAAAGACAAACCTACCCAGGAAAGCTCCTAAGGTCACGCGACCTATGCCTGAGGCACAGTCACAAAACAGAGATGGAGAGAAAGAAGAAGAAAGAGCTTAAAAGCTGAAGTTATTGTACATCAGTCTGAACTAAATATGTGTGTTCGGTTTGAACACTGAAACCAGAGCCTATAGGACATCTGTTACAGAGGACATTTTCATTTATTTGGCCTTTTATTTAAGCTTAAGGGGAAACAGAGTAGGGAGGGAGGGAGCGAGGGAGGGAGGGAGGGAGAGAGAGAGAGAGAGAATTAAAAATGTACTATATAGCCAGACAGACAGGCAGATAAAACAATAAAGCGAAAGATAGACAGATAGATAGATAGATAGATATAGATAGATAAAAATGGCAGTGATAGAACATAACCATAGAACGATAGACAGATAGAACGATGGATAAAATGCTAGATAGAACAATAGACAGAATGATAGACAGAACGATAAATAGATAGAACAATAGCTAGATAGATGGAATAAACATTTTTATATTTTTGATTTGTTTAAATTTAAAAATGTTTGTTATTCACTTATTTTACATTTAAATAAAAAATAAATTAAAGGCAAAAAGTGTCAAATTTAAGAATAGATAGGCAATTAATAAATAAACTAAAAATAATATAAACAACAAATGAAAGAATGAATAAATAAATAAATGGGTAGGGAGGAAGGTAGACAGGTAAATAATATTCAAAAAGTATTTAAAACTACAAAAAAGGTATTGATATATGAACAAGTAAATAAATAAATGAAATAAAACAGAATTAAATTACATTAAAATAAAGTAAAAATATAAAATGAAATAAGAATGTTCAAAAAATGACTTGTGTCAGTTCTTACCGAAGTATTCGTTCAGGAAGGCGAGGGAAGCGAGGTAGCAGCCAAGACTGATAAGTTCGGCTACGACCATGAGCCAGTGCCAGGTGCGGACCATCAGTGCCACCATCAGCAGCTCCGTCAGGATCAGAGCAGTGAAGGAGATCGCCACCACATGCACAAACTCCTGATCGAACAGCACCAGGGCCCCGTACATCAGGATGCCCCCTGGTGGACAAACAGAGAATGTGTTTGAGATGAACCAACAAAGACTAAGATAAAGCTGTCAGTTTAGTGTTATAATGAGTATAAACACATGTGCATGAAACACGTTAGTAGTTAACAAATTAAACAGGGGAACAACTAACAATAAAAAAAAAAAGATCTGCTAGGGTCATTTAGACTGCAAGACCTGACAAATCCATAAGGTTTACTGATGTCCATCTAGAACGAGTTTCTTCCGTGATGAAGAAAGTTCTTGACCCTCGCTCACGGTCTGATCCCCCATTCACACATGAGTGCGTTGAGCTCTGACCGCTGCTCGCAAGGCTCCACGCTCACTCGGCTCCTCAGCCTACTGTAACCGTCTCTGCTTTCATTTTAATCATAAATGCCAGCGCAATCCAGCCTAATGGCCTCTAACTGATCACATAATTGCCTCTCTTCATACAGCGAACATTCCTCAGGGTTACTCTCTGGACTAAATGAAATCTTTGCTCATATTTCCCTGTTGTTCTTGTCTCTCTGTATTAAGGTTTAATTAAAAAGCAGGAGCTGTCAGACGGGGACACTGATCTCTTGCTCACTGTGTGGATCGATTTACAGTGCGGATAAGACAGCCGTGTGCGCGCGAGAGCTGGCAACGGTCCGAAAATCACATTCAAAAAAAGAGCTCCACTGAATTCACGGGAGACACGTTATATTGCACTTCAATGTTTATTTATCTGATGAAACGTTAACAGATTTATTTGTAAAGAACATCTGCTTGTGCCTGTTTATGGTTTAGTTTATATATGAGGTGTTATCTCAGATTGGACTGGCTTTTTTTTACGTTTACATTTCCCTTATATTTGTTCAGTAAATTTCTACTATTGAGACAATCCCTCTGGATCAACCTAGGCACAATGCTGGTAACTCATGCATCACTCCTCCTGGGGTTCCAACCTAATCCTAAAAGATTTTTTAATGTTTTTGAAAGAATTCTGTTACGTTCACCCCAAACTTTAAATAAAGTGTTTATATTTATATAGTACCATATTTTCAAAAATACACTGAACATGCCAATTGGGGGACAATCAAATGCTTCTGCACTGCAAGTAGACTAGCATCTGGATTGGTGACAACCAAAAATAGGTCAATTATTTTTTTCTTTTAAGTAAGAAATTATACAACACATTGTTATTAAAGAAAGGCTGGGTACCCTCAACTACCTTACGACAAACATCAAATACAACAAGAAATCCTGCTTATTAAAATGACCTGCTGTTTTTTGTTTGAATATCTAAAAAAGTAAAAATATTAATATAAGAACCTGAAGTATTGTTGCAACACTGAGAAAAATCACCCTTTTAAACATAAAAATTAAAAAGTCTGTGGCTCTAAGAATTCACAAGTTTTTTTGCAATGACTAGATCATGCCAAACAAAAACAAAAAACAACAACTGAGATGAGAGTAAAGGTTATTGGTGAGGTACAGTTTAAAGTCATACAAAAATATCACTGTTCATCCATTTACCTTGATATACACTTATCAAAACCCAAATCAGGAAGGTCTTAAAGGACAGGGAGCGACCCTAGTGGAGGGAAAACCAAAGTCAGCATCCCTGTCATGCAGCAAACACAAACTCATGCCTTCATTCCTGTAACTTATATCATGTGTATCATGCAGATACTCGAGCTGATGTTAGTTCTGGTCATTACTATTAAAAGGTTTGCTATATTGTTACCTTGGTGAGGTCTTTATAGAGTTCAGGATACAGCAGAGCCATCTCAGGCTTCACATCCTGGTCCAACACCAGAGAAAAGACAGGGAACATGGTGTAGATGGTGGCGTAACTAGAAACAAATAGGCATGAAGTTAGGAAATGTGACACATGTTTAAAGGCACTTATGGATGTCCAAAAATGCTGTGCAGGTAGGCAGCTCACTAGTTTTGTGAGAACCAGCCTTTACTTACCCCACCATGAGGAAACCTTGGTACAGTGGAACAGATGCGAAGTAGAAAATAGAGGAAAACACAGCCTGAGAAGAAAAGACACAAATTCAAATCAAGATATTAGCACTTCAAATCAAAAGGCTGCATAGCAGCAACATAAGTGTGTTGCTCTTTGTGTTGAGAGCAAACCAATTTACTGTAATGGTCACTATATCACTACAGAAGTGTAAATATACATGAGGTTCTTCACTCTTTGTGTGTATGTTACCTGCATGGTGGAGATGATCATCCCACGGTGCATGACAAACTGGCCCAGAGCTGCTGAGCGTTTGTAGCTGTTGCGGCCATGTACCATCAGCAGTCTGCCTATGTGCTTGAACTGGGTTATGGAGAAATCTGCTGCCAGAGACGCCTGCTTTCCCTCCTGAAACAACAGCTATGTTTAGTTTTAAATGACACTTCTACTTAATCAGACAGATTCTGAAATCATGAAACCTGTCATGAAACTTGTCAAGAACATGCCCGGATCATATTTTATCTAAAAAAATAAATAAAAATAAAATGTATGACTATTAAGATGATTTGCATTATGACATTATTTTCACAACGTTTATGCATATTTCTCCCATAAATTCTCGTTAACATAATGCCTAAAATTTGATTAAACAAATTATACAAATATATCGTGATATCAATTTTGGCCATATCGTCCAGCCCTATATTAAAATGCAAAATATAAATATTATCAACACTGCAATGAGATTATATTTAATTTAATAATATTAAATAAAAAAAACTTTATTACAGTAATGAGAATGTAACAAGTTTCAACAGTAAAGGGAATTACACCCCAAAAAAATTAAAAATAAAACACCTACACATTCTGGTAATGAGAATTTATTTGATATAAATATAATTAATTAAAGATGAATTGAAATAAAGTTACAGCAACAGGAAAAAACTATCTACATTAATGAGAAATACCTCACCTTCCCTTCAATACCGATACCACAGTCTGCTGCTTGGATCATGCTGACATCATTTCCTCCATCGCCTGAGCACAGAGATAAGAAAGATGATAGGGCGAAAACATGAGAAGACACTGTGAAGACAGTCATCTTTACCGCTCTCAAAGATTCATGTCCTTGGAGAGAGTTCAGTTTAAGTGGGTTTTGTCTCAGCTACTGGATGATGGGACTTAAAGCTCAACAGACTGAGGAGAGAAGTGGAGAGGACTGACCTATGGCACATGTTCTGTTGTCTGTATGTTGCTGTAACAATCGAACGATCTGAGCTTTCTGCGTGGGAGAGCAGCGACAGCAAACCACAGCGGGGCACTGACACGCCAGCTCCACAAATTCATGCTCATAGTAGCGCAGACAGACCTGATGGGCCACAAATAATCAGTGTGAAAAAATAAAAACTGATCATACATAATTTTGTTGAATATATAAGTTTTTATTTTTATTTTTTTACCTCCAGAGAGTCCCCTGATATGACCAGCGCACAGTCGTGTTTCCTTCTGAAAGAGTTCAGCTCCAGATGAGCCTCGCCCCTGTTGGACACCTGCCACAAAAACACCATAGAGCGTTCACACTAAATCCACTTCACTTAAAAATCCAAATCATCAGTGGTTCTGATCCTACCGGTCTGAAAACGTGGATGTTTTGATTTCTAGAAACTAAGTGGGAACTTTTGGCGATACATGTAGCAGTTTCCAGCTTGTCTCCGGTCAACATCCAGATCTGAAACATAAAGAAGAACCCAATATTAAACGTTAATATTACACTGTGCCTACACCGGACGCGACAGTTGTCACGTCGCGCCGCAACAGCTTGAGGCTGTCTACACTGGATGCGACAAAGTGACTGTTGCAAATCATTTGAAATTTGTGTCAGCACCTCATAAATAGAACAAGGCATCAGTTTACTGTCGGGGATTTGTCGTGTTGCGTCGCACCACGTCCAGTGTAGACAGCATCACTGATTATAATGGGTTCTACTGTATTTTGTCGCATCCGGTGTAGACACGATGTTAAATGCTCAACATGCCTATATAGGTATGGTGTTTGGGTGTTCACATATTTTTGGCCATCTATTGTATGTGTACCTTGATCCCAGCATTGCGGAGGAGCTCCAGTGTGGGCCGGACATCAGCCTGCAGCTGATCTTCCACTCCAGTGAGACACAGAAGCTCCATCTCTCTCTCCAGACTCTCCACCACTGCCGCCACCTTCAGAGCGCGATCGTGGATACTCAACTTCGCCTGATTATAACGACTCTAAACAGACAGAAATATGGATAAAATGTGTGATAAGTTAATAAGGATTTTAAACTTGCCTTGCTTTAATAGCAAAAATGCACATTGTTCTTTTAAACTTTCTATTCATGAAAGAAATTTGAAGGGAAAAAATGCATCACGGTTTCCACAAAAATATTAAGCAACTTTCAATGTTTCTTGAGCACCAAATCAGCATATTAGAAAGATTTCAGAAGGATCATGTGACACTGAAGACTGGTGTAATAACTGTTGAAAATTCAGCTTTGCCATCACAGGATTGTAATAATATTTCACAGTATCACTGTTTTTACTGTATTTTCTCAGCCTTGGTATAGCATTAGAAACTTTACAAAAACATTACAAATTCTTACAGACCCTAAACCTCTGAACAGTAGTGTATATTGGTTCTATATGCATAAAAGTGATTAAATATATTTTTCCGTGTGTTTGAAAAAATGTGTGAAAACATGCTGTGGTAGAAATTCCATCAACACACCTGACTTAAGTTAACCTGAGGCATCTCTGATTACACTTACGAATTTATACTATTTAGCACGTCTCTGGTGACACCCTGCTGAGTTGGACAGCGTCTTGCCCCTTTTGAACACTATCTCTCGGGACTAACATTTTTAGTGTTCCAATAACAGACAGATTTCAGACAATGCCTTTGAATATGCTTTAATCACAGCCAGGAAGGCCTCATAACCAATCAAAGAGAATCTCACCAACAAAAAGAGTACAACAGATTACAACCCCCACTCCTCCCTCCACCCTTACTGGCAAAGCAAACTTGGTTTTTGATTACTTCAGCTTGTTACTCAAGTCATGGGGTTGTTATGGTTATTATATTTAGACAGACGTCTAGCCGCCTTGTCCATATGCATCCGTTATTGCAACACACTAACTTTGGCCCAAAAGGTGGAGACATTTATTAGTCAAAACCATTCAAATATTAAGCCTGCAAGAAAAATAATTGTTAGTTATGATTAATTAAAAGATTTCCTTCACATTACCCCCTCTGATCGTTTCTCTTAGATGATCATCAACCTTCATTCATCAATTGAATTTGACATGCTTACATGTTTTACATGCTCTTTACCGAATCATCTAATTATAAGTCTTGCAGTGAGTAAAGTAGCAGTCGCTGGTAACATAAGTTTAAGCAGTGGCCAAAAACATTACCAAATACAGTGTGAAAGAAATTAGCAATCTAATAATCTAATCTAATGCTGATAAATTGTGCTTTAATGCCACCTGATATCTAATTTTCATGTTAGCCAATACTTATATTCCTTCTATCAACATCATAAGCTGGAATGAAAATACAACCAATTTGATCACATACATATATGTGACCCTGAACCACAAAACCAGTCATAAGGGTCAATTTTTTGAAATTGAGATTTATACATCAACTGAAAGCTGAATAAATAAGCTTTCCACTGATGCATGGTCAGGATATGTCAGGATAGGACAATATTTGGCCGAGATACAACTATTTGAAAATCTGGAATCTGAGGGTGCAAGAAAATCTAAATATTGAAAAAAAAAATCGCCTTTAAAGTTGTCCAAATTAAGTCCTTAGCAATGCATATTACTAATGATAAAACATTTTTGATATATTTACGGTAGGAAATGTTCAAAATATCTTAACGGAACATGATCTTTACTTAATATCCAAATGATTTTTGGCATTAAAAAAAAAATCTTTAATTTTGACCCATACAATGTATTTTTGGCTATTGCTACAAATATGCCTGTGCTACTTATGACTGGTTTTGTGGTCCAGGGTCACATATCATCTTCTGTCAACATTTATCCAGAGCCATTCTAATTTTAGAAATGTTACAATTTTTACAAATTCAAAATTTTGTTTTCAAGCAATGGAAAAAAATAAATAAATAAAAAATAAATAAAAAAGAATACCCCACAGTAAATAGCAATTTAACTACAGTAGACCTTTTACAGAGTCAATTTTTAGTATCTTCTGCTGGGTTCAAAGGTCATATTGTTCTATTAGGAAATGAACAAGTTGATAATGCAGCAAAGTAAGCTATCAGTTTGGGTATAGAATGTCAAATCCTTTGTCCAAATCCATCTTTTAAAATGATCTTTTATTGCATTTTATTTATTACACAAAACAAATTAGATCTACTAGTCAACAATGACTGTTTGCTTAAAATGATGGTTCTTCTGTCAGAGCACAAAAATCACAACTTTACACCATTTCAGAGCAAATCCATGAATATTGATAAGTTGAAAATGATCAAGGAACATATTTTAAACTATATCACTATATATGAACCATATATTAATTTATTTAACTTACTGAGGGTGGAAATACAGCTGGTTTATCATACCTCAAAGTCCTGGTATTGCTCTTCAGTCAGTGATTTCTTAGCCACCACCAGTGTCCGCAGGCCCTCTCTGGCCATGTTCCCGCACTGAGACAACATAATGCAACACACAACTACAGTTACATCAGCTACAGCCATGTCGTGTGAGTGGTTGTGTATTAGACTGTGAACTCAATTGGTATACAGAAAGCATGAGAACAAAGATATAAACAATGCTTTTAACACAACTGTATTTACTGGAAACATCAAAACACTGTCACGCAAATAGAGATATGCAAACAAATAAACACACACAGGAAGGATCAATCGTGAAAAATACAACAGTGCCTGTGGGAATCTTTGAGCAGACTGAAAAATGTGGTGCAGCAGTTTAAATTTGATATGAAAATCCAACAGGCGAAAGCGATGCAGTGATTACTTATTGACCTGTCCTTATAGCAGCGTCTCACATATACACACATAGCGCATCGTGAACAGACCGATGAGGATTATGACATGATGCTCCCAGTCATATGCCTTTATTGAGGTCATTCATTAATTAATAAGCCTCATCTCCGCCCCTCATCGACTGCATATTGTCAATACAATTGTAATCATCAAAGCAAGAAATGCATGTGTGATGATGGGCTGAGCAGATTGTCCTTGATCACAGAGGCTAGGACAAGCCGACCTGTTTGTCATGCTTAGCGCTACCTTATCAAATGTGTTGATTTTTAATTCAACAGGGATCTGTTCATAAAGTCATTCCTACAAGGGATTCAATACCAAAAACACTGGCGGTACCTACTGAGGAAGTGAGTTGGAATGACAGACATATGGGAACTGGGGCAATACGTTGTCATATATTACGCATTTTCTCGTTTATACTATAAATGTGTAACTGTAATATGTATATACACTACTGTTCAGAAGTTTGGAGATGTTTTGATGTTTTTGAAAGTCTCACCAAGGCTGCATTTATTTGATCAAAAATACAGTAAAGACAGTAAAATATTTTATAAATTTTTTCTATTTTAATATATTTTAAAATGGAATTTATTCCTGTGATGGCAAAGCTGAATTTCAGAAGCCATTACTCCAGTCTTCAGTGTCACATGATCCTTCAGAAATCATTCTCTTAAACTGATCTGGTGAAAATGATCGATGTTGAAAACAGTTGTGCTGCTTAATATTTTAGTGGTAACAGTGATTCTTTTTTTTCCAGGATTCTTTGATGAAGAATTCCATAAAAAAAACAACAGTATTGTTGAAATACTTTTTTTTTTTTGTAAGCGTATAAACAATGTCTTGACTGTCACAAAAAGATGTTACTGACTCCAAACCTTTAGACTTGTGTAAGTTCGTCTACCAAGATCTTCTTATATTTATTTTTTATTTTATTACATCGGGATTCTTCGCTGAATACAAAGTTACAAAGAATAAAAAATTCCTACTGACCCCAAACTTTTGAACGGTAGTGTAAGTATATAACTTTATTTCGTACATTGTGGTTTCTTAATTTTTTGTCATAACTGCCTTATTTTCTATTTTTTTATTTTACTGAAATTGTGACAACTAACACCAGTCAACACTACATCCAAATTTGTGAGTATCTCTTAATCTGGTGACATTTTTCTTCTTCTTTTTTGTTTTTGTGTGGATAAATTACATTTGAGGAACAAATATAAAGGTACTGCATATTTTGATTGCTTTTACTGCCATTTGATACCCACACACACACACACACACACACACACAAAGACAGATTATGAATCGGATACAAAAACAATTAAAAATGCAAATAAACAAAACAAAACAAAACACAAAGAAGGGTCACAGAAACAGACAATTAGATTTATTCATAAGCTCACCAACCCACACGAAAAAGCAGAATGCCTATTTTCTCATCAACAATGGTTCAAGCATTCTTACCTCCTCCTCCAGCCAATCATTGTACTGTACAATGCTCGCCATAGCAACATCAGCCCCTTTCATGTAAAATGTGATGTCGCCCGTAGCCGGATACAAAAACAATTAAAAATGCAAGTAAACAAAACAAAACAAAACACAAAGAAGGGTCACAGAAACAGACAATTAGATTTATTCATAAGCTCACCAACCCACACGAAAAAGCAGAATGCCTATTTTCTCATCAACAATGGTTCAAGCATTCTTACCTCCTCCTCCAGCCAATCATTGTACTGTACAATGCTCGCCATAGCAACATCAGCCCCTTTCATGTAAAATGTGATGTCGCCCGTAGCCTCCTCCTGAAACACAATCAGTTCAATAGAGAACACTTAAAAACATATCCAAATCATGTCTAAATCATTAGCATGTCCAAATGTGGAGCACAAAATCACACAGATGGCACATGGAGCCCTAAAGTTATCAGTAAATAAGAAGACAAACAGAGATGATCTGCATAAACGCATGTCAAAAGCTTAGTCACAAATACTCTTATGCATGCACTGTAGCAGACAAACAAACATGACACACTCAAGTACACAGAGTCCTGAAGTATATAATAGCTTACTCAACAAAGGCTAAAGGACACAAAGCCAGACTACAGAGGAAACAAGTTCAAACGTGCACACATTTTCACATTCTCTCCAGATGTTTTTACAGTGTTTGAAATTAGAGAAATATGTAATTCTGAAAACATACAAACACACTTGCAGTTGGATACGCACCCTGACAATAATGCCCATGCGCTTGCTCTCAGAGGTGAAGGGGAAGATCTGGAGGATGTAATAGGTCAAGATGTGTCCGGCTGGGGTCTTCAACTGGAGGGACGTCAGGTCTCTGTTCACCAGAGTCAAACCCACACTCTCAGTCCAGCGCACCAGAGCCACCTACACAACATGTGAAAGAACGATTTGTTGTCAAAAGGTCTGTTTTTGTGACCAGTTACATGCAACTTTTTGCTCTCAATGATCAGATAATCTTTAAAGACCTGGGTATATTTATAGTCTTTTATAATATGGCTGATGATTAGATTTAAAAATTAATAACTAAAATGTAAAAATTTGAACATAAATAAAATAGATCAATAGGTAGATAGATAGGTAAATAATATTCAAAAGTATTATAAATGAAAAAACTAATAAATTATTATATGAATAAAATAAAGTAAAACCATAAAATAAAATCTGAATCATACAGGTATTTATTGCCAAATGTGCTTACACACACACGGAATTTGTCTTGATGACAAAAGCTTCCAGTGACAGAGAAAACAGTACATTAAATAAAATAAAACAAAAAAGAAATAAATCAAAATAAAATAAAATAATTTGGTTTTCTTTCAAAAACATCTGAGGCATTTACATTTATATAGACAAAGTTTTAGGATTCAAAAGGTCACTAATGAAATTTCCGAAAATAAAATTTAAGACATTGATCATGTGAATTAATGTAAAGTCAGATTTTCTTGTTTAACACTGAAGCACAACATCCTGTTTGGATCATTCTCAAATCATGCTGGACAGTGCTTCTGCCAGTAAATCCAAATACAGAGACATTCTATAATCCATGTTAATAATTCAACTTCCTGCTCTAGTTGAAATATGCCAATATTATATAGTTGAGTTATGCTGACAATAGGATTTATATAAAAATTGCATGAAATTGGAAAAGATAGTAATAAATTATATAAAATCTTGATCAGTTGTGTCTCAGACTACTTGACCCCACTGCATGCACTGTTTATCTCAAGACTGAAAGATAATAACCATCCATGCAAATTATGCCATTAAAATCCTCTGCCGCTCTGTGATTACAACTGCTTTCTTTGCTCTTACACACATCAGAACACAGCTAGAACATGGCAGTTCATGGCATTTCAATGTGATATCACTAATTAGCCAGTCTTCTATAAACCTGACAGTGCTAAATGATGCCCTCAAGAGCACACACACGTGCGCACACACACACACAAAAGTAACTCAGGTGGTGGGGAAATGCCTTCAGGAGACGAGCAGGGAACTGTTTTACGACACAGGGGAGAGCCTTTAATACACTCTATCAATCATTTCAGCAGTACAGGAAGAAAAGCTGTAATCATAAACCAAGATCACTGTGCCTTCAAGAAGCAGAGAGGATTGAAACCGCACCATGTGACCTACGACCACAAATGAAGACGTGGCTGTTATTTAATAAAGAGACCAGATGTGACAGGAAATATGATATGACGTCATAAAGAAGGCAAAGTGGAGATGGTTTTATCTGACAGAGCAGTTTCATCCAGGAATATGCTGAGAGAAGTTTATCTGAATTCTATCTTTCGCTTTTCGTTATTATAACAGTGTATTATTTCACACTTTTTGAGCAATGACTTTTCATGACTTTTCCAGTTGTTTGATTACTGGCTTTTTAAAAATAACTTTCTAAAGATTGCACTCACAAAGAACAATTTCTTGCATTATCTATCATACATTTTATAGCAAGTTATTTATTTATTATAAATGATTAAATATTGTTATTAATTATTAAATTGTCTAGGCCTGGAAATCACAATTGTAAAATTCACATTTAATTTAAAAATTCATATTACAAATTCCATTTCCCAATTACAGATTTTAAATTCAAAAATCGAATCATTCTGTTAATCAAAAGCAGACTAAGAATGCATCCACTTTAACCTCATTCTAACAAAAAACCTCATTCTGAAAGAATTGAACATGCCATAACTCTCCTGTCCGAGTGGCCCATCTTTTTGTGACAACTTCTATTTAATAGGCTAAAGGTTAGAGGTCAATACTATATTTTTCCTAGAAGAAGCAAAGGTCAACAGCCAATAAACACTGTCATCTCATCTGAATAAGCCAAAACCACTAATAAAACCATCAGTGAACTTCTATTACCCCTCATAAGTAAAACTTCATTATCGGACATAACAAACGGACTTGCTCATGAGAATGTCCGATCATTAAAGGTCATAATAAACCTCTGACCCTTGACACTCTGGGGTCAAAGGTCACAAATGACTTCAAGTAAGTGTGCCGAAAGGCATCTGGGATATTCAATCTCTGAACTCGGCTCTCTTTAGGAATATTATCGCTATGCATCTGTCATATTAAAGGCGAGCACACAGACACAGGCACAGATGAGAGTGACACGTAGAGAAAGACTAGTGTTAACCGCTAGTCTCTCCGAGAAAATTAAATATTGATCAATCCCGGAGTGAAGACGTTGGAGAGATAAGACCTGGGCATTAAAGAAAATAAATAAGTAGACACATCAAGGGAGAAGAGAGGACAGGCAATTCCACTAAAGAGGGAGATGGACAGATTTCTTGTTCCTTTTATCACTCTCAAAAGATATCTACGTCTACAGAAGGTCCTGAAGAAAAAGATGCTTGGTCTGTATAAAGGAAAAATGAAAGAGCACCAGAATATTCTCAGTTTATATAATGACTGGCGCATTGTCTTGAAAACGATCAATGCTTTGAAAACGACTGCTCTTCATTAGTTCATCTTCATTAGATCCTGCAAGGGAACAGCAAACATTGCATAGAATTAGTTCACCTAAACACGAAAATGTTGTTATCACTTACTTACTCACCCACGTTGTTCAGAACGGATATGGTTTTCTTTATTCCATAGACAACAAAATAGAAATGCTTCACAAAATGTGAAGCTCCGAAAATGACAAAAAGCAATATAAAAATATCATATGCTAATGAAAATTTATGCAATAGGTTATACTTTGGTATACCTCGGTTTCATATGGATTACTGTTACAATAATTTAATGGTGTTTTTTTGGTCATTTTTGGAGACTTGCATTGTATGATGAAAAGCAATGCCAAACATTCTGCTAAATTTCATCTTTTGTGTTCCACAGAAGAAAGAAAGTCAAACAGGTTTGGAAGATTATGAGAGTGAGTAATTGATGACAAAAATTAAATTTTTGGGTGAATTATACCTCCAATTCGAACCTCAAACAACTCTTCATTCCCCTCCATTAAAAATATATTTAACTATAACGAGTCTGACGTTTCCCTCCATCTATTTGAGGACCGTTACCTTTGTGACATATGTTTGGCCTCAATGCCTTTTCTGCCATTTATTTAGTGCTTTTCTTACCAACAACTCATTCAAAATATTGTTGCTCTACAACGGATCTATAAATATCTACGATCTCTCAACACAAATGATGACCGAGTCCTTCCTGGTGTGTGACCTACCCCTGCCCCCTCTGCTTCTGATATTTATTGAGCCCTCTCAGATTTCTCAACTAACACAGAGTCTATATTACCATCCAATAAGGCAGTAAATTCAAGGCTAAAGTGGGGGAGTCATAAATACTAAAGCAGCGATATATAGGATTACACCGTTAGAGGAATGAGGAGACCAGTGTCAATGCAATCTATCTGAATTCTAAATAAAATAAATAGAAATAAAAAAGAAAATAATGTCCTGTTTTTTCGGTTTTTTTTGTTGCTAAAACCGCTCAAGCAGAAAAAAACATAAGTTGGTAAAGAGAGGTAAAATACTAAATACAAAACATAACGCAAAATTTTTTAATTTTTAAAAAAAATTTTGACTCCATAAATAAGTAAACAACTTATTAAATAAATAAATAGAACATCCCATCGTTCTTACCTCATCAGGACTGGAGGCCTGGTAAGTGCGGTTGTCGTCACTGAAGTCCTGGTCAGCCTCTGTACTCTCTGGCTCCGTGCTGACACCATTAACACGGGATTCGTACACCGGTGTAACATTGTGGCAGAGGGCGATGGCTTTCACGGCCTCATGGATCCGGCTACTCACGCTCTTGCGGACCTTTGGTGCAGGTGGCTGTGGTTTACGAGAGGGTGTTGAACTCGCACTATTGCCATTAGACTGCGCCGAGCTCACCTGGAAAGACACAATTTTGAAATAACAAGAGTGTGCCTTAACTTCAGAAATAACATCACTTGCACACCAAGGCTGCATTTATTTGATCAATAATAAAGTAATACTGTGAAATATTAATATAACTGAAAACAGCCGTTTTCTACATCAATATATTTTAAAATGTAATGTATTTCTGTGATGGCAATGCTGAATTTCCAGCAGCCGTTCCTCCAGTCTTCAATGTCACATGATCTTATAGAGATCATTCTAATATGCTGGTGCTCAAGAAACAGTGTTGAAAACAGCTTAAAGGGATAGTTCACCCAAAAATGAAAATTTTATGTTTATCTGCTTACCCCCAGGGCATCCAAGATGTAGGTGACTTTGTTTCTTCAGTAGAACACAAACGAAGATTTTTAACACAAACCGTTGCAGTCTGTCAGTCTTATAATGGAGGTGAATGGGAATCACGACTTTGAGAGTAAAAAAAACATACACAAACAAAACCAAATTAAACCCTGTGGCTCATGACGATACATTGATGTGTAAAGACACAAAATGATCGGTCTGTGCAAGAAACTGAACAGTATTTATATCGTTTTTTTACCTCTGATTCACGCAATGTCCGAACTGTTCAAACTGTCCTGAGCGGCGTTGCGTCCTCCTGAGCGCGTTCTCAACAGCAGGCGCGTGAGGCGTCGTCTTCTTCTTCTTGCTTTACGGCGGATTGCAAACTTATAAGTGCATTACCGCCACCTATCTCTCAAGTGGACCATTGACACTCCTAATTGAGATTGTCGATAGACGTGTCAATGGTCCATTTGAGAGATAGGTGGTGGTAATGCACTTATAAGTCTGCGATCCGCCTGCTGTTGAGAACGTGCTCAGGAGGACGCGACGCCGCTCAGGACAGTTCGAACTCAGAGGTAAAAAGAGGTATAAATACTGTTCAGTTTCTTGCACAGACTGATCGTTTTGTGTCTTTACACATCAATGTATCGTCACGAGCCGCAGGGTTTAATTTGGTTTTGTTTGTGTATGTTTTTTTTTACTCTCAAAGCCTGTGATTCCCATTCACCTCCATTATATGACTGACAGACTGCAACGGTTTGTGTTAAAAATCTTCGTTTGCGTTCTACTGAAGAAACAAAGTCACCTACATCTTGGATGCCCTGGAGGTAAGCAGATAAACATCAAATTTAAATTTTTGGGTGAACTATCCCTTTAATATTTTTGTGGAATTTTTAAGCGTTGTTTAATGCATAGAAAAAGAACAGAATTAATTTGAAATAAAAAAAAATTTCTGTGACAATTTAAGTCATCCTTTCCTTTCACTAACAGGAAGAGATATTTGTTTCAAAAAGGGATTCAGCCCAACACATAAAAATCAGTTAAATGATGAAGTTATGTCAGAAAAGCGTGAAGATTTCATCAGTGTCTCCCCACACAACGAAGGAATCCCACCCTGACTCTGAAACTTATCAATTTACATAAGCACCACTGTGAGTCTTTTTGTGTGTGTGTGTGTGTGTGTGTGTTTGACAGGGGTTGCTGTGCTCCACTGGAGCAGGAGATTTCTCTTGATGAACTCCTCTTTCCTCAGAGCTCTGCCGAGGGGAAGAGATGACAACCTGCACACAGCCTTCAAATCGCAGATGCAGGTACTTACAAATTTGAGAGAGTGAGCCAGCAGTGAGGTGTTTTTAAGTTAGGTTCCTGATTTGACAATCTGAATATGTATATAAATGCACAGTAAATGTGTGATTAGATAAATGTACAGTCAGCCAGTTGTAAACAGGCATGACATATTGACTGGAATTAAACATGTCCCCTATTTTTACATTTAGATTATATTTGCTGTTATCTAATGCTGGCTTAATCTAAAAAAAAAAAACACTAATAATTTCATAACATTGTTAACTGTAATATTTAACAAATCTAAAAAAGAATATCCATTTTATAGTGTACATTATAAATGTTGTGATGTCTAAATTCACTTGTAGAATTTAAAATAACAGATTAAAAAAAAATGTTTTATTTTTATTTTGAAAAAATAAGATAATTTTAATATTGGCCATTTATCGGTTATCAGACATAACACGAAAATAATTATCAGCTTATTGGCATTAGTAAGAATTTTAATATTGGTGTTTTCTCTAAATTAATCTTTTACTTTTATCTCATATAAGTCATACAAGTGTTTACATTTACATTTCTACACTATTCGAAGGTCCTGCTTCTCTCTGAATTTTCTCAACTTCATATTAACTCAAGTTTAGTGCCACAAAAATGACATACTTCATTTTATGGAAAGCTAAGAACGCTATTATAGATCCACAAAAAGCTTGCAAACTGAAGGTTTTAAAATGAACCACATTGTCTACATATGAATATCAAATTTTGACATTTCAAAACACAATTTGAGTTCAAAATCCCAGTTGGACAGGCAAGATCTGTCTGTACACTCACCCTGTCTCAAATAAGACGATGGGGTTTGCTCTCTACAAAACAACAGCTGTTTTTAATAGTCATTTCTTTATACTCATAACACTCCAGAGAGAATCTGAGCTATAACTGCCTCGTGTACACCAAAGCATGTTAAGCTGTAAATTACATTATGTTTATTGATTCCTGTCAAACTCAATTTCACACAAGTTGTTGGACACGGACTCTGACACGTCCTGAGGGGGGGATATAATAAGGCTATGATCGCTCATATCATGGGTACATTTCAAACCTGCCTGCCACTCCATCATCACAGTAATGAAGGACCGTGAAGCATGAAAATCAATTGTTACTGTGGCTTTAACATTGTGTCACCCAGATGTTGGCACAAAAGACACACACACACACACACCAAAGACGACAGCAGTTTGTGAAGAATGTGAAGCTCCTTAAGCTTTCACTATAGTGAAAGCGAATGTCTTAACAGTGATGTATAATGTGATGCATGTCAGTCACACCTGAGCATAAGACTGGATGATGTGACTCTGGATCTCATCCATAGTGTCTGTTCCATATGACACAGTACCGAGATGGAGGCGCTTGAAGACCATCTCATTCTGGGTCAGAGTGCCTGGAAAAACAGCACACAAAGATTAAGATCAGGAGAAAAATCAATAGTTATTATAAAGCTTTGGATGGGCAGAGTGGTTTCAACACAAAGAAAGAGGGAGGAAATAAAACAAGGAAGGAAGAGAGAGAGAGAGAGAGAGAGAGAGAGAGAGGGAGATAGGAAAATCTAAAGATTTAAAGGAATAGCAAATAACAAAATTAAATAAAAAAATATAAATAAAATACCTGTTTTGTCTGTAAGCAGGTAGACCAAACGACCAAGTTCTTCTGGGATGGTGCTTGTCCGAACCACAGTACCTGGAATATTCTCATCCCTCATAATCATCCAGCCGTACGCTGACTTCCCCATGTCCAGGTTTACTCTTAGACTACACACACACACACACACACACACACATTCATAAATTTCATTCTAAAATATGTTTGTTCTTCTCATTTCACACTGCTGAAGCTTTGAAGATTCTGCTGTAATATTTTCACAGAGTAATCTGGGTGATAATTTTCTAAACATACCTGATGGGGATGATGTATGAAAATAAAACCACGAAACGGAACAGGTTTCGGAACCAGGGCCCAAGAAATCCCTGCAAAGCCACCATAACAACAGACAGAACCACCTGAGCCAGGAACAGAGCTTTTGTTAGGCGGTTTAACTCCAGGTCCAACAGCCCCACCTGCAGAGGAAGAGATGAGAATAATGTCTGAGAATAGATGAGAATAGTCTGATATGCATCAAATTTGAATATTTTTTTTTATGCTTAAACAAGTGTTTAAAATTACATTTTAGTCAACAAGTAAGAGATAATGTACATTCAGGTGGTCATTATCTATTTAAATCAACTTGTGAGGGTGTATTTTTCAATAAATATTGGCTGACTGTACATTATTATGTGTATAACATAGCTGTTGATCCCTCATTAAATGTATAAATGGGCATGAAATTCTGATTTAAGTATTTTATTTACTGATTTAAGTGTTTTAATATGTGAAAATAAGCCATAATGTGATAGGTGAATGAAACTAGTCAATTATACATATTTGTATGTTATGCCACTGACCAATCAGAATTAAGTACTTAAAGGATTAGTTCAATTCCAGAATGAAAATTTCCTGATAATTTACTCACCCCTATGTCATTCGTTTATGTCTTTCTTTCTTCAGTCGCAAAGAAATTAAAGGGTTAGTTCACCCAAAAATGAAAATTAGGCTGTGTTTTACTTACCCCAGAGGCATCCTAGGTGTATATGACTTTCTTCTTTCAGACGAATCCAGTCGGAGTTATATTAAATATTGTCCTGGCTATTCCAAACTCTATATAAGGTTCTTGAGGAAAACATTCCAGGATTTTTCTCCATATAATGGACTTCAATGGGAACCATAAACCAATAAACATTTATATACTTTTTAACCCCAAATGCTCATCTTGCACTAGCTCGTCTTTACGCATTACGTAGTCACGTTGGAAAGGTCACGCGTGACGTAGGCGGTAGTACCACCCCGTGTTTACAAAGCGAACCTGCAAAGAAAGTCAAATGCCCTTTACAAAAAAAGATAAAACAACGATGATGGATGATTGTTAAGTTGGAGGATAAATTGAGACGGAGTTTTTCGCCCCATCATAACTTTTTGAACTGTAGTACACAGACAAAGAGCTAACTGCGTGTGACCTTTCTAACATGATTACGTCATGTGTGAATTTGCGGACGTGCATCGCAGAGCTAGAGCAAGACGAGCATTTATGGTTAAAAAGTATATAAATGTAATTTTTTTTTTTTGAAATTGACTACTCATTTCGCTAGATTAGACCCTTATTCCTCGGCTGGAATCGTGTAGAGCCCTTTGAAGCTGCACTGAAACTGCAATTTGGACCTTCAACCCGTTGGTTCCCATTGAAGTCTATTATATGGAGAAAAAACCTGGAATGTTTTCCTCAAAAACATTAATTTCTTTGCGACTGAAGAAAGAAAGACATGAACATCTTGGATGACATGGGGGTGAGTAAATGATCAGGAAATTTTTATTCTGGAAGTGAACTAATCCTGTAAGTAATTTAAGAATAGTAAATACATATTGAAATATTCAAAAATAATTAGTAATGAATATTCTTAGGGAAACATATTTATTTATCATTTTCATTGGTTGTTTAGAACACACTCCAAAAAAGTTCCCAAAATGAATGAGTGGTTGATTTGGTTGAAGCGCTCTTATCCAAAGCATGTGATATCCCCTCTAAGAACAAGAACCTTGAGGGCTCCTCTTATCTGGAGTGATCCGAAATGTTACTCTTATGAAAAATAAAACAACCTGCCTATAAGCCAGCACTGATCAATGCCCCCAGGCCTGTTCCAGACTGCAGACCTTTCTCATGCTAATAGTGTATGTGGAGGAGAGAAGAGATGAGAGGCATTTAACCAAGAAGCCCACTGCTGTTGTCGTCTCTCTGTGAAAAGCACAGGAGGCAAAACCGGAAAAATAAAAGCAGAGCGCCTCTTCATAGAAACGGCCCCCTGACAAAAGAGCTGGAGTTTTCCCCTTTTACTCTCAAGTATGTCCCCTCAGCCAATGGAATATGTGGGAAAATGATGTCAAAAAAAAAGTTTTTCTTGTTTCCCTCTGGCGAGGGCCGACAACGTGGCCTGCGCGAAAACACTGTGGTCTTTCATCTAGGCAGCGCGCTAATAAAAACAGCAACACATAACACCGTCCCCTGAGAAAAGATCTCTGCGTGAAAGGGAGGGGGAGGGGGGGTGGACAAATTGAACAGAAAAGACAAAAAACAAAAAATGCAAGCAAAATTAATCCCCCAACTGGCTATGGCCCCCAGTCCCTGGAGGACTGAGTAAACTGGGAGACACTGGGAGAGAAGAGCTGCTGTCTGATTTATCAGCTGTAGTTTAAAACCCCTCCAATAGCCTGCTGCCCCACTCCGAGCTTCATGCTTCAGCTAGTGAGCAAAAAGGGGGGAATGGAAGGATTAAAATGAAGAAAAATTAAGACAGAAGACATAGTTCCCCAGCTGAAAGGGAGGAATCCCCTTTTATGGGGGCAAAACAATGCAGAGGCTGAATTTTGCAAAGCTGGCCAGGGATCGGGTGAAGCCGTTATTCATTCAGCCCGAAAGGAAAAAGCGACTCAATTACCTCAAGCTGAAGATGCTATCAATGAATCAAGAGTGCATATTTTACTCTATTCATCCGGGCCTCGTTTAAAGTGAAAGGAATGATTCAACCTGCCCTCGCTGCCTGTATGTTTTGTGTGTGAAATTTGATGACGACTTTGTGCATGTATAATGAATATTCATTGGTTGAAATCCATCAAGTATACAGAGGCTGTTACAACAATATGGCATTATACTAGTGCTCCAGAAACTGGATATGCAATACAGATAAATGGAACATGCCATCCACTGTGCAAGACCGCTGACAAGGCCTTGAGAATTTCTTCACTTTACCAAACAAACTTATCAACTAAAATTATCAGCATTAAACAGAATTTTTACTCACTCTCCTTCCAGGAATGTTGCGGAAAAAATAAAAATAAAATAAATAATAATAAAAAAATAAATCTAACTGAGCTTCTACATTGCTTAACATAAAATAGATATAAAAAAATCCAATGAAGCCTCCACTTATATACTTATAAATAAAACGCATCTGAGCATCTACAATTGCTTAAAATACTAAAATATAACAGAGATTATAACACTTCAAGTAGTGAGCAGTGTCTGGTCAGCGAAGAGGGTTGTTCAACCCTTTGTCACATCCTTCAGACCACCAAGGTTTCGATCCTCAAAGAGAATATCGCTCCATATTACGACAATGACAGACACACACACACCATGTAAAGTGATAGCTTATGTGCTGTCAGCAGCTTCTAGTGAGAGCTTAGTTCAAGGAATGTCACAACAGATTATAAGAGGCGAAAACGTTCTCAGTGACTTTCGCCGAGTCGTATCGACTTTCCCGCCCCGTCTCGTTCCCTGTATTGGCACCTCTGACATCATCTCCTTGAGATATTGAATTCCACTCTCACACACAGAACATGGTAGAGCTATGAGCTCCGCCAAAGCTACTGCTATCACACACATCTTGCAGCATCCATGACAGGGTATGAAACACTTCATGACATGAAGAATAGTGGTTAACCAATATGGGTTTCTCGGCTGGTTTTTGTGACAGGCTGATGATAAGCTAATAAAATGATGTACACAAATTCGATAAAATTAAATGCACTTAATATATTTTAATAAACTTAATAAATTTAATTAAAACATTTGCATCAATATTTACTCTAAAGTTGCTCAAAAATATTTCAAACAGAAAAACCACATCAAGCATTAACAAATCTGACAGTAGAGCGAGCCAAATGATATTGCCAAAACGATGACAGTTTTCACACGTTTCCCCAAACACTCTCCTCTTCTGCCTTTAGATTAAAAAAAATAGAAATAATATAGATGCTGAGCCAATTTTGCCATGTCAGGGTAATTGGGATGACCAAATAATGTTTGTATCTTATGTTTTGACAGCCCTACAATGTTTACACTTCTTAAAGAAATTAATCTACAATTAGTTCATTTATAGCTGACTTTTCATATTTAAACAATATTAAACTATAATAAGTAGAATACAGCACTTTAACGTCAACAAAATTACATCTGATTTCAGACATAGCACTACGTACTGTCTTTAGATAAAGCAAGTCATAGGGTTGTGATGACAGTGATGAAATTTTCCCACCAGTTAATCGACGTGTGACAACACCAATAATACCGGTATCACACTCTTTTCCTCGCTTTCCTTCCCTTTTAAATAGCTTATAAATGCCAGTGCACATTTTACTTTCACTTTCAAATTAGCGACAATTCTGCATCAATTGCTCGAATGGATACAACAAAACAGTACGACGACAAACTCACTTATATTAAACATAGAACTATTATTAAAAGGGTCATATGATGCTGCTAAAAAGAACATTATTTTGTGTATTTGGTCTAATGAAATGTGTTTATGCGGTTTAATAATACTTTAATGTTTCAGATCATCAAACAAACTTAAATATTAGTAAAAGATAACACAAGTGAACACAACATGCAGTTTTTAAATG